TGGTTGGGAAAGGGTGGTAGTAGAACTTCCTGTTTGGGAAAACTGGATAATGGGGAATTACTAAGAGTGCCTGGTGGTGTTGGTAGTTATGTGCCGTGGAGTCGGAGCTGACTCATAGTGACCCTGTACAGGGTTTCCGAGGCTGTAAATCTTTATGGGAGCAGAAAACCTCATGTTTCTCCCGCAGAACAGCTGGTAGTTTCGAACTGCTGACCTTAAGGTTTGCAACCCGATTCGTAACCACTACGCTACCAGAGCTCCTGGAATCCTATAAATCCCAGTCCTAAGAGTTACCACAACCAATTCCTTCTGCTGCCCCATGAAACAGAGTTCCTGAGTGATCCATCATGTTTCTCCTTTTTTCCACCAGGACATCATTGAGAGTGTGTGTCATCAGTGTCTGCATAAGAATGCTGGTTGAGTGAAAGAACAGAAATTGAATTTGATTTAAGCTTGATGCTGCAGGGGTAGCCTTAGCCCAAGACTTAATGGTCATGGAGATGAGGCAGGTCCTGAGAAGGCCTGGGGCAGAGGTGACCTCTCCAGTGACCAGGGTCCTGTCTTCCAATTGTGGTGAAACCAGGCTGTCTTCAGTGTGTTTCCTAACAGCAAGCCTACAGCCCTCTGGGAGGCATGTTTGAAAACTCAGTGCCCATCTTTTTTCAATCATAGGTGTGTGGGTCCTGCATAGCTAAAGTACTTGCATCATCTGTGTATACATGTTGGAACACATATGTGTATCATGTGGATATGTATGTGAGGGATCAGAGCACATATGCATGTGACAGAGGAGTCAGGTCATTTTGTTTTATTTTAAAATATAGAGCCAGAGACTGTCCAGATTTAGAAAGACCTGAAGGAATCATGTTTGTTTGCTTGTAATTTTAAAACTTTTTTTTTCTTTTAATTGAGTTATGGGGGTGAGTTCAGTTCAGATCTGAAGGCTCATAGGGTTTTCAAGACTGTAGGGGTTTTCTTTTATTTTTAAGTGGTGAGTATGTATGTAAAAAAAAAAGAATGCCATTTTAATATTTTTTACAAGTACAATTTAGTGACATTATTTTCATCATATTGTATAAATATCATTATTATTCTTTCCCAGATTTTCCTACCATCCTTAACAGAAGCACAGTGAACAAGCAAGCAATGACTCTGGGTAACCACTAATAGATTGCTGTCTCCATATGTTTATATATTATATTTATTTATCTAAAATTTTTTAATTTATAATTTTATTTTAAACTGCTTTACCTGTCACTCAAGTTAACATGTGTCTACCCTCTGATATGGCACTGTAGGATAAGTACTGAATTGCTAGCCACAAGGTTGGTGGTTCAAACTCAACAGCTGCTCCTCAGAAACCCCATACAGGGTCTCTATGAGTCAGAACTGACTCGATGGCACTTAATAACAACAACAACCCTCTAGCCAGTTAATAATTTTCCCTTCTCTCCCATCCCTGGTAGCTATCATGTTTCCGCTGTCATCAAAGTTTTTTCTTGATTTTTTACAGCAGTAGTCTCATACCATATTTTTTCTTTTGTGATTGACTAATTTCACTCAGCATGATATCCTCTAGGTTCATTCATGTTATCAGGCTACATGAACTTTCTGAAGTCCCTTATAAGGAACATTAATCATAGAGACATTATGTACAACAGAATGAAACATTGCCTGGTCCTACCATGCTCACACTAGTTCCTACGTTTGAGCAAATTGTCACAGCCGCTGTGTTAGTCCATTTCATGAATGAAGTTCTTCTCTAGGGACTGCTGTCTCCTGATAACATGATATGAAAGTCCAAGTTTTGCCATTTTTGCTTCTAAGGAACTACTACAGTTTTGTTCATTCTTTTGACAGTCCATGGCATATTTAGCATTTTATGCTGGCATCATAACTCAAAGGCATCAATTCTTTCGTCTTCCTTATTCATTCTTCATCTTTCACATGCATGTGAGGTGATTGAAAATACCATGGTTGAGTCTGGTACATAGTAGTCTTCAAATTGACAACTTCACTTTTCACTTTTTTTTTTTTTTTTTTAACATTTTCAAAAGATCTTTTCGCAGCAGATTTGTCCAGTGCAATATGTTATGTTTCTGAATGCTGCTTCCATGGATGCTGATTGTGGAACCAAGTAAAATGAAATCCTAGACAGCTTCAATCTTTTCTTTGTTTTTCAAGATGATGCTTATTATCCCAGTTATGAGAATTTTTACTTTCTTTATGTTGAGGAGTAATCCATATTAAAGTCTGTATTAGTTGATATTCATTAGTAAGTGCTTCAAGTCCTCTTTACTTTCAGCAAACAAGATTGTTTCATCTGTATACTGCAAGTTGTTAAGGCGTCTTCCTTTAATCCTGATGCCATGTTCTTTTTCATAGAGTCTAGCGTCTCAGATTATTTTCTCAGCATACAGACTGAATAAGTATAGTGAAAGGATACAACCCTGACACATTCTTCTCCAGATTTTAAGGAAATCTTGAAATTTCTTTTTCTATTTGAGTGACTGCTTCTTGGACTGTGTGTCATGGCTTGGGTCAGGCGTACCCTAGTTCTGAAAGTACCATCTTTGCTTTTTAACATTTTAAAAAAGTGGATGCACACTTTAAAAAAAAACTTTAACACTTTAAAATATATTCACCTATATTACAAAAAATAGTTATTTGTGAGAAATAATTAAACCTTAAAAGTGTACAATATAATGAATTATCTAAACATATTTTAGAGCTCTATGAAAGGATGGAGATTAAAACCACCCAGTGCTTTCATAGAAGAAAAGACCTGGTGATCTCCTATGGAATAAAAGACCTGGTGATCTCCCAAAAAACCCTCCCATATGTGGGTAGTCGACTTTGTACTATAGAGTTGCTATGAGTTGAAATCAACTCAATGGCCTACAACAACAACAACAACAGAAAAATGAGATGAAGAAGTTGAGACGAAGGGGACATGGAGTAGTGTAGAGAAAAGTTACCAATTGTTGGTACCATCCTAACTATAAAACTAGCTTTTACTATTCAACACCTTGAAGCTTTCATTTTGGCTTGGCCAGTCTTAATATCATCTCTCCAACATGTCATGCTTATTAATGATTCAAGCCTTGTGGCTGGCCTTGGGTATTCTTTTTATTTAAATGACAGTTCTTCTCATTTACTTAAACAACATTCCAAGAATCTTTTTAAAGTACATATCAAATAAAGGTGTGCCTGACCCAAGCCATGGTATTTTTCAATAACCTTATATGCATGCGAAAGCTGGACAGTGAATAAGGAAGACCGACCATAGAAGAATTGATGCCTTTGAGTTATGGTGTTGAAGGAGAATACTGAAAGTGCCATGGGCTGCCAAAAGAACCAACAGACCTGTTTTGGAAGAAGTGCAGCCAGAGTGCTCTTTGAAGGCCAGGATTGCCAAACTTCGTCTCTCATACTTCGGACATATTGTCAGGATGGACCAGTCGCTGGAGAAGGATATCATGTTTGGTAGGGTGGAGGGTCAGAGAAAAAGAGGAAGACCCCCAGCGAGATGGACTGTCAAAGTGGCAGCATCAACAGTAGTGAGGTTGGCCCAGGACCAGGCAGTGTTTTGTTCTGTTGTGTATACGGTTGCTACGAGTTGGTACCAACTCGATGGCATTTAACAACAACAACATCAAATTATATGTTCTCTGAGACCTTCTTGATTTCTTTCCTATGTATAAAACCTCTAACATCCCTGAGGAGTTCTTAAATGGTACTAATGGCTAATATTATTGACTATAAGCCACAAGGATAGGGTTTGAGCCCACCCAGCAACAACTTAAAAGACAGACCTAGTGATCTACTTCTAAAAAATTAACAAATGAAAACTATATGGAGCACAGTTTTACTCTACACATGGGGTCACAGGAGTCAGAATTAATTCAAAGCAATTGGTCTGCATTAACATCCCTGATCTATCGTCATATTTAATGTCTGTCCTGGTGTGATGCTGTAGGATAAAGCATTGGAACTCAAAGTCAGTTTAAACAGCAAGGTGGGCAGTTCAAAATCACCAGCCTTTACAGGGTTGCTATGTGTTGGAACTGACACCATGACACTTAACAACAATGACAACATGTCTATATTACTTATTTTGGTTAATAATCACATGTACTTTATGAAGATATTTAAGTCTTTAATAAGCAGTATGTTGTTTTATCAACAAGATAGAAATCTATGCAAACATCATGTTCATAGTTTGTAGTAATATTTCTGAATGAAGGAAAGACTTTTGAAGATAGTTGCATTTTTTCAACTACTGACATAGCTATACTTATTGGTACTTATTTTAAAAAGTAGATCAAAGTTTAAGGCTGGAGTTAGTGATTTTTCTATGTGAATTCAGAAGTCATCCATAAATCATCTTTGACCCTTTCTCATTCTTTGGTGATGCTATTTCTTATTTCTTTCCTAAGTTTCAAATACTTATGTTCATTTATTAATACCTGCTATTTACAGAACTAAGGAGCTCTGGTAGCGTAGTGGTTATGATTCGGGCTGTGAACCACAAGGTCAACAGTTCAAAACTACCAGCTGTTCCGTGGGAGAAAGATGAGACTTTCTGCTCCCGTAAAGATTTACAGCCCCAGAAACCCTGTACAGGGTCGCTATGAGTCGGAACCGACTCCACGGCACATAACAACAACAACAATTTACAGAACTCGAGGCCAATAACATCCCTTTAAACTATTTATCAGAAGTCCTGGTGTGGCACTGTGGGTTAATACAATGGACTACAAAGTCGGTTTGATGAGCAAGGTCAGCAGTTCAAGCTCAGCTGCTGCTCTTTGCAAATCCTATACAGGGTGGCTATGGGGTGGAACCACCTATGGCACATTACAACAATAATAAACAGTATGGGAAGAAAGGCTTGGTTATGTTTCTGAAAAATCATCCACTAAAAAATCTCTAGCGCTTAATTCTACTTTGACATACACGGGATCACCCCAGCAATAGAAAAATAATATTTATCTTACCTTATGTCAACTTGTTGAGGATTTTCTTTTTGACACTGAGGGCAGAAATATGTCATTCTGTTGTTCTCCCCTAAGCGACACACAATTATTTTGCAGTGGCACTGACCACAATTAGGACGCTTATAAACCTTATAGTGTTTAGCTATAGCAGATCCTGCTTTATTGCACTAAAAAACAAACAAACAAACAAACAAATTAGCATATTATCTACAAAAGCAGTGTTGGGAAGGTGCCAAACCTATATTACTGTAAGTCATCTACGAACAAAATTTGTTAAAAATTTACATATGTTTGTACTTATGTGCATACAGTCTCTTCTAAGAAAGGGTATTGAAAATTACTTACATGCATATAATCTGTTCTTTTAACTGGGAAAAGGTATTGGTAAGAATCAGCAATCAGCTATATTTGACAACTAAGATTTGTGTGAAACAAGTCATTATTTCATAACTCAATAGCATTCAAAATTGTTCTTTGCATAGCTTTACCCTCTTATCTAAATGGGATATAAAAGTTCTATAATTTAAAATGTCTTTCATGCTTTAAGTTTTTTTTTTTTTTTTAATTAACCATAATTATGTGGTTACAAAAAAGAATAGATTAGCTTTAAATCTAATACTTTTTACAAAACCTAAGCTGCCCACAGTCAGGTTTAACGAGCAAAAATTAATTTCTAGGGGCAAAATTTAACAGGATTATCTCCTTTGTTGACCTGACAAAGGACAGTTTTTCATTTTAAATCTTATAGATTCACTAAAAAAAGAAAATATACATTCAAATGTCATTCGAGCAGAGAATATGTTCCATTTTGATGTAAGTTCTATTTCAAAAGACACTTTGGTATTTTCTGTCAAATTTAATTCCACTTACATATATTTAGAGCTCTTACAAAAAGAGTATTTTGGATTTATATAGCACTGTGAAAATCTAAAAGCCCCGAAATATGGCTCACCATTTAAAAGCAGAAAATTACACAAGTCACATAAAAATTTTAGCAAATTATTGAAATGCCTAATGTTAGTAGGAAATGGATGGTTTTCTATAATCACCTTTCCCTTAAAAAAAAAAAAAAATTTATAAAGAGCATATGAAATTTTAAAATAATTACAATTACTCAAGGAAGACATATAAAGCAAAATGTCTATTAACACCACGTTGTTGCTAAGTGCCTTCCAGTTGATTCTGACTCATAGCAACCCTGTGTAGTATTTCTGAGGAGTGGCTGGTGGGTTTGAACCACGGACCTTGTGATTAGCAGTCCAATGCTTATCCTATAGCACCATACTAGGAGTTAAGTAAATTAATGTAGAATTCAATGTCATCTGTTTCCTGTTGTTGCTAAGTGTCATTTAGTTGTTTTTGACTTATAGCAACATTGTGTATTTTCCAAGAAGCATGTACTTTCTAAACATAATAAAATTAATAATGTTGAATATAACAAATAGACATTAGAGAAAAAAAAGTTTATGATACTTTGTTTAAAAAATAAAACACAGTTATTGACATATCTTTATAATACTGTTGTTGTTTTAAGTGTCTTCAAGTCACTTCTGACTCCTAGTGTCCCAGTATAGGGCTTCGAGACTTTTAATCACCCAGGAAGCAGAGAGTTTCATCTTTCTAACATGAGCAATTGGTAGGCTTGAACCATGGACCTTAAGATTTTCAGTTCAGTGCTTATTCTCCTTTGTTATATATTGTTACTATTAAATGCCATCAAGTCAGTTCCATCTCATAGTGACCCTGTATAAGGTTTCTCAGGAGTGGCTGGTGAATTTGAAAAGTTGCCATTGCAGTTCAAACTGACCTTCACATCCAGTGCATTATACCACAGGGCCACAATTTGGGAAGCACTTATTTCATTTGCAAAAAACCTTGTGGTAAACAGATAAGTATTATTATCACATTTTACAGATGAAAAAATTAAACATAAATAAAATGATGTGTCACCATTTGTCAGAGAGTTTGTTGTACTGTGGTGACTTGCATGTTGCTGTGATGCTGGAAGCTATGCCCTGGGTATTTTAAATGCCAGCAGAGTCACCCATGGTGGACAGATTTCAGCTGAGCTTCCAGAAAAAGACAGACGAGGAAGAAAGAGACTGACTACTTCTGAATATTTGTTGTTGTTGTTAAGTACCGTGGAGTCAGTTCTGACTCACAGTGACACTGCACAGGGTTTCCGAGGCTGTAAATCGTTACGGGAGCAGAAAACCTCATCTTTTTGAATATTTAGTCACTGAAAATCTTATGAATAACCAACAGGGTTATTACCAGAATACTGAAACATGATGAAGAGCACAAGAATATTAACAGATATAGGGTGGGAAGATGAGCTGCTCAGCTTGGAAGGCACTCAGAATGAAACTGGGGAAGAGCAGCCTTGTCAAAGTAGAGTTGGCCGTGATGTCGCAAATGGAACAAAGCCACCACCACTTCATTTACTGATGAGCACATCAATATGAAGAGAAACAGCTATAAAAATCTGTTAATAATCAGAACATGAATGTACAAATTACAAATCTAGGAAAATTGGAAATGGTCAAAATGAAATGGAACACATAAATACCAATATGAACATGAACATTAGTGAGCAGAAATGGACTGGTACTGGACAATTTGAATTTGACAATTACAGGTCTACTATGCCAGGAATGATAAATTCAGGAGGAATGGGGTCATTTTCATCATCAAAAGAAACATATCAAGACCAGTCAAGAAGCACAATGCTGTTTGTGATAAAATAATATCTGTATGCCTACAAGGAAGACCAGTTAGTACAACTATTATTCAAATTTGCTCACAAACCACTAAAGCCAGTGAAGGTGATATTGAAGAATTCTACCAACTTCTTCAGTTTGAAATTGATCAAACATGTAATCAAGATGTACTGATAATTACAGGTGATTGGAATGCAAAGTTTGGAAACAAAGAGGAAGGATCAGCACATCGAAAATATGGCCTTGGTGATAGAAATGATGCTGGAGATTGCATGATAGAATTTTATAAGATCAATGGTTTCTTCATTGCATATACCTTCTTTAAAATACCGTAAAAGATGGCTATACACACCAACCGCGGATGGAACATACAGAAATCAAATTGATTACATCAGTGGAAAGACATGTTGGGAAAGCCTCATATCATCAGCCAAAACAAGGCCAGGGGCATACTATGAAACAGACAATCAATTGCTCGTATGCAATTCAGGCTGAAGCTGAAGAAAATTAAAACAAGTCATGAGAGCCCAAATAGGATCTTGAACACAACTCACTTGAATTTAGAGATCATCTGAAGAACAGATTTGATCCATTAGACACTAAATACTGAAGACCAAAAGAGTTGTGGATGACATCAAGAACATACAGGAAGGAAGCAAAAGGTCGTTAAGAAGACAAGAAGGAAGGAAGATACTAAAATGAATGTGAGAAGAGACTAAAACTTGTACTTCAATGTAGAGATGCTAAAGAAAATGGAAGAAATGAGGAACTAAAAGAGCTGAACAGAAAATTTCAAAAGGCAGCTCGAGAAGAAAAAGTAAAATATTATAATGACATGTGCAACGACTTGGAGTTAATAAACCAAAACTGAAGAACATGTTCAGCATTCCTCAAGCTGAAGGAACTGGAAAAAAATTCAAGCCTCAACTTTCAATATACAAGGATTCTATGAGCAGAATACTGAATGATGCAGAAAGCATCAAAAAAAGATGGAAGGGATACACAGAGTTATTGTACCAAACAAAAATGGTTGATATTCCAACATTTCAAGAGGTAGCATGTGAATCAAGAGACAATGATACTGAAGGAAGAAATCCAAGGTATACTGAAGACACTGGCAAAGAACAAGACACTGGGAATCGATGGAATACATATTGAAAAAATTTCAACAAACTAATAAAGCAGTGGAGGCACTCACTCATCTATGCCAAGAAATTTGGAAGACAACTACCTGGCCAACTGACAGGAAAAGATCCATAACTTGTACCCATTCCAAAGACCCAATGGAATGTAGAAATATTTGGGCAATATCAATAATATCCCATGCAAGTAAAATTTTGCTAAAGACAATGGAAAAAGGCTGCAAGCATACATTGACCAAGAATTTCCAGAAGTTCAAGCCAGATTCAGAAGAGGATATGGAGTGAGAAATATCATTGCTGATGGATGATGGATCTTTACAGAAAGCAGAGAATCGAGAAAGATATTTATCTTTCTTTATTGACTGTACAAAGGCTTTTGACTGTGTGGATCATGACAAACTATGGACAGCATTGCAGAGAATGAGTATTCTGGAGCACTGAATTGTGCTCATGAGGAACCTGTAAATAGACCAAGAAGCAGTTATTCGAACAGAACAAGGGAACACTGAATGGTTTAAAATTAGGAAAGGTGTTTGCCACCTTTTCTGCATAGTCTTTCACCATATTTATACAGTCTGTATGCTAAGCAAATAATTTGAGAAGCTGGATTATATGCAGAAAAATGTGGCATCAGGAAATGAGGAATACTGATTAACCACTTGTGATATGCAAATGATAGACCTAAGTGAAGAGGAGTTAAAATACTTACTGCTGAAGATCAATGACCACAGACAGCCATTGTTATGGGTTGCACCTCAATGTAAAGAAAACAAAAATCCTCACAACTGGACCAATAAGTAACATCACAATAAAAAGAGAAAAGATTATAGTTGTCAAAGACTTCATTTTGCTCAGCTCAACCATCAACACTCATGGAACCAGCATTCAATAAACTAGACAAATCTGCTGCATAAGACCTCTTTAAAGTGCTGACAAGCAAAGATGTCCCTTTGAGGGCTAAGGTGAGCCTGACCCAAATCATGGTATTTTCAATAATTGCATATGCATGCAAAAGTTGTACAGTGAATAAGGAGGATTGTAGAAGAATTGATGCATTTGAGTTATGGTGTTGGAGGAGAATATGAAAAGCATTATGGACTGCCAAAAGAACAAACCAATCTGTGTTGGAAAAAGGACAGACAAAATGCTCCTGGAAGCCAGGATGGCCAGACTTTGTCTCTCACACTTGACACATATTGTCAGGAGGTACCAGACCCTGTAGAAGAACATCATGTTTGGTAAAATGGATGGTCAGAGAAAAAGACAAAGACCCCCATGAGATGGATTGGCACAGTGGCAGCTGTGATGAGCTCAAACGTAGCAACAATTGTGAGGGTGGTGCAGGACAGGGCAGTGATTTGTTCTGTTGTGCACCAGGTTGCTATGAGCTGGAACCGACTCTATGGCACCTAATAAAAATAGCAAAGTTATCTAAATAACCTAAACCATACAGATAATAAGTGGCAACACCTGGAATGACACTGAGATCTATGTATTTATCTCAAATACGTTAATCTCCATAGGCTTTCTATATTTTCTTTTACACGTCTGAAAACAAAACAAGAATCCCCATTTAGAAGATAATTTCACATCATTATTATTAGACAAGTTTGAACTGACCAATGATTTCAAGAATTTCAAGGTGTTACTTACGCCCAAAAAATGTCACTCTCCTTCATTTTACCTCTATACCCTTATCAATATTATTGTTGTTGTTGTTGTTAAGTGCCATCGAGTCGGGTCTGACCCATAGCTACCCTGTATAGGGTTTCCGAGGGTGTTATTAAGCACCCTCAAATAGGTTCCAACACATACTATGTATAGGGTTCCAAAGCTGTAAATCTTTTACTGGAACAGAAAGGCTCATCTTTCTCTTGGGGAGCCACTGGTGGGCTTGACCCTCTGACACTGTTGTTGGCAATCCAGTGCTTCTCCTACAGAACTACCAAACTCCTATTGTCTACCACTGAGTAACGAAGTACAGCTTTGCCATTTTTGATGCAACAAAAAGGAAACTCCACTACTTGTCTGTTAGTTTGTCTATCGTGGTGGCTTGTGTTTTGATGTGATGATGGATGCTATGCCACAGGTATTATAAATACTAGCAGGGTCACCCATGGAGGCAGCAGTGAAGAAATCAAATGACATATTGCATTAGGCAAATCTGCTGCACAAGACCTCTTTAAAGTGTTCAATAGCAAAGATGTAAGTTTGAGGAATAAGGTGTGCCTGAATCAAACAATGGTATTTTAATATCATAAGCATGTGACAATTGGGCAGTGAATAAAGAAGACTGCAAAAGAAGTGACGCATTTGAGTTATGATGTTAGAGAAGAATATTAAAAGTACTGTGGACTGCTAGAATAACAGACAAATCTGAATTGGAAGAAGTATAGCCAGAATCCTTCTTAGAAGCCAGGATGGTGAGACTTCATCTTTCATACTTCAGACATATTATCAGGAGGGACCAGTCCTTGTAGAAGGACATCATGCTTGGTAAAGTGGAGGGTCAGCAAAATAGAGGCAGAAATGGGTTCAAGTCCATTAGTAATGATTGTGATGATTTTGTTTTTTGTTCACAGGGTTGGTATGAGTCAGAACTGACTCAAGGGCACCTAACAACAACAACAACAAAAGGGAAAACACTAACATATTGCATAGTTGAACTTTCTTACCCTGTAAAATAGAATGCTGAAATCACGTATCATTTTCACAAGGTGAAAGATCTGTTCATCTGTTAATTGACAAACCTTAAAATGGAAAAGTAAGGATAATTTCATCATTTGTTCATTACAAGAAAAACAAACAAAAAAGCAGTTTCAAGTTTGTTAGATATTGTAAATCAATTAAAAATATTTAAACCATCTAGAACTCTATTTCTCGTATTTCCGTTTACTATAGTTAACAATAGTTGAAGTGGTATACTATAAATAAAAACTTTTATTATTTAGAAATTTTAATTATTTCAAGAATCAATTGAGTATTCTGTATAAGACATCTTTATATTTCTAGCATTGTCTATCAGCCACCTGAAAACTCTTATTCAGTCTTAATCATAAGAAGAAGAAAAAGGGAAAAAAACAAACCCAGAAAGCACAAAGGAAGGAAAGGGGAAAAAAGAGGGTAGGAGAAGGAACTAGAATAGCTGACCATCAAGGTCACTATCACAGTTTTAAAAGATATGAATCTATACACACGCATTGATATCAAAGTACTTGTTAACACATGGAAGAATTCAGATATAACTAAAGAGGTTATTTGTTTTTTTGTGTGTGTGACAAAATCTGGCATAAATCTCAATGTTATTATTGCAGAATTAATTATCATTTGGCACATGTGATTTCAACAGTAATTTCATGAAATTCTATCCAATGCCTTATCCTTGTAGTATGTCTACGACTATGAGGCTTCAAAAAAAATTCACAGAAAAAATGGAATTGATTTTTCCCATGAACGTTTTAAAATCTCCTCATATATATACATATCTATATATAACAGAAATTAGTTTATCAGTGACTATAAAATCAGAATACTCTAATCAATATAACCAATCAAAATCCATTATATGTATTTTTCAATAGTTTATATGGTATATTCAAATTAAATATAAATCTAAGCCATATATATTTTCAAAACTCATTTATTTCTCATGGTGTGGAACTTAAGATAAGCACTAGACCATAAAATTGGTTTGAACTGCAAGGTCGGTAGTTCAAACTCACCAGCTACTTCTAAGAAACTCTATACAGGGTTGTTATGAGTTGGAGTTGACTCTATGGCACTTAACAATAACAACAATAGCTTATATAATGTATTAAGTGATATCTTGAAATATTAAACTATACTTTTTCAATAATTATGTGTATGCTTTAAAGGAACTAATAGAATAATTTCAGAAATATCATTAACTTTTACAACCCTTGACATTACTAGTAACTAACCTTTTACTAGATGATAGACTAGAAGGGTGGACAAATGAAAAATAAATTCTCAATTTATTTTACATAAGAACAATTTGTTGTTGTCAGGAACTGACTCATAGCTATCCCAAGCACAGCAGAACAAAACAATGTCTGATGCTGGGCCAACCTCACACCACTGCCACACTTGACACTATCAATGATGCCACCTGGCTGATCCATCTCGTTGGGTGTCTTCCTCTTTTTCTCTGACCCTCCATATTACCCAGAGACTGTTCCCTCCTGACAAGATGTCCAAAGTATGAGAGACGAAGCTTAGCCATCCTGGCCTCCAAGGAGCACTCTGGCTGCACTTCTTCCAAAACAGATCTATTGGCTCTTTTGGCAGCCCATGGCACTTTCAGTATTCTCCTCCAACACCACAACTCAAAGGCATCAATTCTTCTATCTTCCTTATTCACTGTCCAGCTTTCGCATCCATATGAGGTTATTGAAAATACCATGGCTTGGGTCAGGCGCACCTTAGTCCTCAAGCTGACATCTCTGCTCCTCAACACTTTAAAAAAAGTTCCTGTGCAGCAGATTTGCCCAATGCAATACATCATCTGATCTCTTGACTGCTGCTTCCACGAGTGTTGATAGTTGATCCAAGAATGAAGTCTTTGACAACTTCAATCTTTTATCCATTGATAAGAATGTTGTTTATAAGAACAATACTGTGGTATTTTGTAATGCATTTCCCAAAGTGGTCTAAGTGATTTTTTTTTTTTTTGGAAATATATATATTTTTAACTCTAAGTTTATTTATTTAAATATTTAAGGTTTTTATTGTGAATTGAGTGAAAGCTTACAGGGCAGATGATCAGTTTTACAGTAAAAAAAAAAAATTGTAAAACATAGTTTTGTTCTATTTTTTTAAATCTTCCTCTAGTCGAGTTCTGATTATCAAGCCATTGAGGCTAGGTCAAATGGGTTCTAAGTGATTTTTAAAAGCTCATACTTGTTAAAATTTTAATTCATTATTCCCATATTACAGAAATCTGACTACACTGGCCAAAGGATAAAAGTTGAACCTCATCTAGAACTAACAATAACTAGTTTATTTAAAAGTTAATTTCTACTGATTTAGATTTCAGGAAGGCTATCAAAGAAATGTTTGTTGCTACCAAACAACATGGCAACAATTCATTCTGTTATACACAAGGTCACTATGGGTCAAAGTCTACTTGAGGGCACGTCACATCAACAGTAACATCAAGGGAATAGCTATATAAAATAAAGTAGATGTCTTTGGATTCATTGGGGAAAAGACAGAAAATCAATTTAGTTAAGAGAAGCTATTCAAATTGCATTAGGCAAATCAGCTGTGAAAACAGCAACACTGAGTTTTTTGTTATGAACAAAATAAAAAATACATATCCTTCTATCTTGGCTTCTAAACCCTTGATCTTTTCAGAACCTGTGACCCTGTTAATCACTATTTTATTTTTGTAACTGTAAGCTCTCTCCCATTCAAATAAGTTTATTTTCCTTGCTCATAATATAAATAAGTTAAAGTTCTTTCAATTGAAGAAAAAGAAAATAAACAAAAATAAAAATCTATTCTTTGTCTTGACATAATTTTCTAGATGTCTATTATTTTCCCTTCATTCTACTCCAAGCTACTTGCAAAAATACACTCAATTATCTTTATTTCCTCATTGATCATTGATTCCCTATTCCTGCTACCCAATTTTATTCTTACCATTTTACTAAAAGGGTATTTGCTAATGCCACCAAGAGCTATATATAGGAAATACATGTGTGTTTGGATGTAGGTAATATGCCAGATAGAAAAAGAAAATTGTGACCTCAGTTCATTCACACATTTAACAAATATTTATTTAATGCCTATCATATGCCAGACATTGTGCTCTAGACACTTAGGATACAACAGTGAACAAAACACATAGTTTATCGTCATTGAAGATTGCATTCATTCTAGCATGAGAAAAATCTAAAGAACAAATACAGTAATTGTTATGTGATATTTGAAGTTGATAAGTATTAGGAAGAATGTAAAAAGCAAAGTATGTTAGGAAAGATTGAGTGTGAGAAGTGGAAGAGGGGGGATACATATTGCAAAGTTAAGTACATTGGTTAGGAAAGCTGATACTACTAAGGCTTGGAAGAGACCTAAGTCTGTTTGGCAACAGTTATGTTACTGCAACACAGATGTTAAGTGCTCCACACTGTTGCCCTAACTATATTTTAAAATATACAAACCATTTTAAAAAGTACTTAGGACATACTTTAACAGCTGGATGAAGACCAATGTCAAAGAGAGCTTCATTTTTGATGATATTTCCTACCCCAGGCAACACTTTCTGATCCATTAACACATCACATAGCATCCGGCCTTTCTGCTTTTTAAGTTCACTTTGAGCTCTTGAGAAACTAAATTTAGGTGAACACACATCTAACTCCTCCATCATTCTTATTCTCTGTTGGCTTTCCATTGAATTTCTATAAAAAGAAATACAAAACACATTAATCCTAAATCTGGTTACAATATCGTCACAAAGTGTCATTTAGAATGAGCCTTGATATAACTATAAATAGTTGATGTTAATCTAAGCATAACAGTTCAATAGGCAAACAATGAAGACCCTAACAAATTGTATTATTTGATAGTACAATCAAAATGAGGTTTTATCAATTAAAGATCATCAATTTATTTATTCTTTTCTAACACTTGTGACATGCCAAATCAAACTGTAAATCCAAGTGTTACAGCTTTGCTGCTACAGTGCTTTTACTTTAATTTTACCTGAGTTCTACTGATGAATCAAAGAAACAAATCAAATCTTTGGTGAGCTGTACTTCAAAAGCAGGAGAAACTCCATTTTTATTTTTATACCCAAATGGATTAATCTTGATGAAGCCTTTCATTCCAAAATGAATCCTGAAATAAAACCAAACCAATTATTTCAAGTAGCAGAAAGTATATGATGGATCAATTTTTTGTTCCTTCATTTTGCTTTTTGTTATTATAAGCAAACAAACATTAACAAAGAAGGCATTTCAAAGGGCAAAAATGATAGTTAATGCTATTAAATATTTTTCTCTTACAGTTTTTGTATGCTATAAAGTTGAATGATGTGACAGTTTTCCAACCTGTAAAAAATATATTTGTTAGAGAAATAATAAGGCCCCAACAATAAACACAAGAAAATATATATCCCTGTTCTTCGTTTCTTGTCACATGAAGCACCTTTTATTCTCAGAATAGTCTAGTGTCTCTCAGTTATTTTTTCAGATTCAAAGGCTTGGGATGAGAAAAGGCTAAATTTAAATTGCCTATGGTTTGTTTTTTATAAATTCTACAAAGCTACTAGCATTCAAGTTTCTTATTTCTAGCTACAATGAATTGGAAATGTTTACCTATTCCCAAATACTATTTACACTTTAAGAGCCCTTATTCTTTTCTTCCTCAGTTTTGGGCTAATGACTAAAACTTTTTTTTTTCCTTTTCCAAATTCATATGTATCAAAAGAGAACAAGTCAAAATGCAAGTGTCGACAATTCTTTTAGTTTTCTTTTACTTTTATATGTATTGGGAAGAAGAAATTTATAAATATTTACGGTTAACTTTAAAGCCACAATGCAGTGATGAAAAATTCATAACCTTTCAATTTTTATAGGATTGATTAGCATGTCCAGTAGAAAGAAAAGAAAAAAAAGTAGTTCTGTGAAACATCTGATGATGCTCAAAAATGATTCTCAAGATGAAAAACTGTGTTCTGTCTTTTAGATCCTTCTCCTTCTAGCTTGTTTGAGGTAACAAATATGGTCCTTTTGGCAGGAAATTTTACTGCTCTGTGCTTCTAATTCCAAAGCACCATGTTATAGTACTGTACAAGGTTAACCAGTCTAACTTTAAAAATGTGAGTTTTAAACTCTATGTGCCCTACGATCAATCAGAAATGCATTTTACATGCCCTATAGTTCCTGACAGGATAAATGTGTGCCTGTAAGTACTCCATAATTTAGCTTATGAAGTTTCACCCCCAGAAAAAGGTGTACAACTGTCATGCCCAGGAGCCATCATATCTACAATTTTTTCAGCTACATAGCTCATAAGGTGGATTCTAAATCACTTTTATAATGAAACCACATCCATATCAAAAATCTCAAATCTTATGCAAGAGTAACCCCAATCTTATGCAAGAGTAACCCCAATAAGAACACTGAATCAAGTAAGTATGACTTTTTTCTTTTACAAATCTATTAATTTTAGGGAAAAAACTATTCACAAAATAGAAATCCTCCAAACTTTATTAATAGTAATAGTTTTGTTTTTCCTAATTTTATTTTAATAAACTACCTAAATGTGATTCAGCTTGATAAACTCAAGGGGATTAGTCAGTTTTGCTATCTTGATAGGCTTAAAAAAAAAAAAAAAAAAAGCCAACCTTACAGGTTGAAGGAGATTTCACAACCATCAAGAATAATTTAGGAGCAGAGAACCATTGGACCCAGCGTTCCTACACAGAGAACCTTCTAGATAAAGAAGACAAAGAGTTGCAACACTAGAGAATTATAATACTGGAGGTGGCATGACGCAGCATGAGACAGCTGAAGATGGCAGTGGGACAGGACACATGGAAGGCTATAGTGGGATCGCTGACTGATGGATGACAGAGCTAACTGCCTTTGGTAAAAAGGCTTCTGGTAGAGTGAGGTGCCTCCAGACACTTACTGGCAGATAACATTTACTCCAGCAGGACAGAGGTCAGTGGCAGAAACCCAAGTGTGACTTACTGTGGGCATGACTAAAAAGGAGTTGAGAGCTCTTGGTTTAAAGCTACACTGATTGATAAACTGTATTCCGTCTCCTGAGTTGTTCCTATTATTTTCAACTTGATCCTGATCCTGAATTCCACCCTGCTACTTCTATAATAAATCTTACCCTCATCAGTATGGTCTGTGGTCTGTGTGTTTGTGGGTGACCATTGTAGTGAATTATCACACCTAGCAGAGGAATATAGAGTATTGTGGAATGGATGGTTGGTATTGGAATTGGTATAAAGGAAGAGTAGAGATGTCTGCCTGTTTGATCTTCACCTCGTAGAAATCAGCTTTGGGTTGACCTCCATTCTCGTTTCTCTCCTAAAGTTAGGAAATGGTTCTGACTCTACTACATAACAACATTCTAAGAGTTAGGATTGCTTTTCAAGATTTTTCATAAGTTAGCTTATCTAAGTTGTATTAGATCTTTATTTCCTCACCTGATCATCTCAAGGCCCCTCTACACCCAATCCAACTGGTCACATGAAAGCATTCATTCTGCATAATCTGACTCTGTCTGCTAACCTTTTGTGGTTCAAAGGTGGACTTTAGGTCCAACTTGGACTGGTCTTTATTGCTTATGCAGCCGCTGTTACTCAGACAGAGTTGATTAAGAAATGGACACATGACCCAAGCCGGACCCATCAGTATTTAATTCAAGTCATCATTAGCTACTAAATATACGAAAGTGAGTCAAAAATTGCCTGCACTTCAGTTATAGTAAAATGCCCATCCACATTCATGGCTGATGACATTAAGCATGCACTTTTCAAATAGACAAGTAACAGTGGCTCATGTGGCATATCATTCACAAATCAGTCATAGCTATGCCTGTGAAATAATCCACAACATACTTGGGTTTTGAAAAGTTTCATGGAAGAGAATACACAAGTATTTAGGCATATGCAAACAAAATTTGGACCGATACTTGAAGGAAGGTAAAAGTTTCTCTAAAAAAAAAATCGTTACTGGTGACAAGACATGAATTCCTTACTACAAGCCTGATAGTATGGAATGGAACCATTCTAAATTGCCAACCAAGAAAAAGTTCAAAAGTTAACCATTAGCTGGAAAATTGAGGCTTACAGTTTTCTGGGATTCTCATGGGCCAGTATTGGAACACTATCAATAGATCCGTTTTGGAAGAAATGCAGTCAGAGTGCTCCTTGGAGGCCAAGAGGACCAAACTTTGTCTCTCATACTTTCAACATATTGTCAGGAGGGGCCAGTCACTGGAGAAGGATATCATGTTTGGTAAGGTGGAGGGTCAGAGAAAACCCCCTCCAATGAGATGGATTGGCCAAGTGGCAGCATTGATGGACTCAAGTGTGGCAACTGTTGGCCCAGGATCGGGCAGTGTTTCATTCTGCTGTGCATAAGGTCACTATGAATCGGTACCAACTTGATGGCACTTAACAACAGCAACATGAGCAAAAAGGTTCAACAATCAACAGCGCTCCTTACAGTGAGATGCTCACTGAAGAGCTGAAGCCTAAATTTAGATTAAATTCAGAGGGCTACTATCCAAGAGCCTAGTAATGTTGCATGGCAATGCACATCCTCACACCTTTACCCACACTGTTGACACTCTATAAAACTTCATTTTGAGGTGTTAAAGCCTATAGTCTTGATCTTGCTCCTTCAGACTTGTACCTATCTGGTTCCTTGAAAGTAGCCCTTCAAGGACAAAGATTCACTTGTCATGAAGAAGTGAAGACAGCGGTGCATTCATGGCTTACAGCTCAGCCTAAAACATTTTTATATAAGGGAATATGAAAGCTTGTTGACAGATGTACAATGTATATTGAAAGGCAAGGAGATTACGCTGAAAAATGATGTATTTGTTTTTTTCTCAAAGTTGATTCAAATAAATTCTACTGCCAGTGTGCAGATAACTTATGACTCATACAGGTATTTTGTTGTTGTTAAGTATTGTTGAGTTGGTTCTAATTCATAGTGACACTGTATAAGTTTCTGAGGAGTAGTCGGTGAGTTTGAGCCACTGACCTTGTGATTCACAGTCCAGTGATGATATTATAGTGCCATACCAAGAATCCACTGAATATATGAGGGAGCCTCATATATTTTTCCTTATGGAAAAAAAGGGAATTACAGATAATGAAAATTTTCACAAATTTGTGAAGACTTCTTATATTGATCTAGTTTCTTATTAATGGACAACCTAAGAGCTGTCATTGGTAATGTTTCTACTATGTATACCAGTGAAGCCAAAGAGGCATCTATGCAGAAAGGAAGATGATAGCAAATCTCAGTAAAAAGCAGAGTTAAGAAGAGTCCTAATAACGCCCACAAAATGACTGAGAGGGACTGCAAATAAGGCAATTGTGGCCCACCAAGGGGATAGATCAAGTTTGCTATCTTATTTAAAAAAAAAAAAAAAAAAAAGCCTATCCTACAGGTTAAGAGGTGTGGGGAGGGGGCTCACTACTATGAAGTAGATGTTTTGGTTCTGGTTCTGGTTTTTTTTGAAGCCTGGATGTATTATCTTCAGGTTCCAGAAGATTCCCTGCCATAAAGCCCCTTAGAAGTGAGGATGGAGAAACTTTCTTTGTCTCACGTACTTTAGGCATGTTATCAGGAGGGTCTCTGGAGAAGGACATCATGTTTGATAAAGTAGAGGGTCAGCAAAAAGGATAAGACCCTCAATAAAAAGAGATGGATCGGCACAGTGCTGCACTAGCGAGCTTAAACATAGCAATGATTGTGAGGATAGAGCAGGACCAGGCAGTGCTCTGTTCTATTACATACAGGGTCGCTATAAGTTGGAACCAGCTTGATGATGCAACAATAACAGCAACAATTCTATAATTCCTGAAGTTGTTTGAATTAGGTTTCTATCACTTACTACCAAAGTTCTAATAGAAAATTATGTCCACATTTAAAAATTAAATTAATATGAGAAAATTCTTCTAGTTAAAAGCAGACTCCTAAAACAAACAACTTGCCATGTTTTAAACATTAGTCGCACTCTTCCAAGCTATCACTATCAGAATAAACTGAACATCCATGTTGTTGCTGCTGTGGGCCATCAAGTCAGTTTCTTGTACAGGGTTTCTGAGGCTATAAATCTTTATGGGAGCAGAAAGTCTCAAC